ATAGCATGCTCATTACATATATCAAATCAAAAGTGTTAAATTAGCAAGATACCATCATATAGAATTTAATTAATTTAAATTAATCAAATCTCTAGATTTCAAAAGTTATTCAAATAATTCCAAATTAATATATATCAAGCACCAAATCATGTTCATACCATATCTCAAGTCTAAAATGGAATACAAGTAAAATACAATTTGCTAGAATTTAAATCAAATTAAATCCATTTAATCTCTAGATTTGAAAACTCATCTAAATCATCCCAAATTAATATATATCAAAGATCAACTCATGGCAATTCCATTTACCAAGTCTAAAATGAGTTATATGCAAGATATGATAAATCACTAATTTATCAAATTAACAAAAGACATGCATACGACTTATATAAGCATTAATAGCATGCAAGATAACAAAAATACAACCCTAAAACATCCCCTACCTCACTAGAGAAGTGTCTCTCTAGAATCCAAGGCAAATCAACACAAAATGGACAACCCTTTAAGGGTTATGTAGAGGATGATGAGGGGAACAAAAAGTGTTCCAAACTTCATAGTCTAAGGTGAGTGGAAGGCCATAAAAAATCAAGGTCAAGGCCAAAGGTTTCAAGCTCCATCCATGGAGGTTAGGGTTTTTGGTGAGGAATGAATAAAATAATGAGAAAATGTGTGAGTGGAGGAAATAGAAATCCTCTACTCACTATGTGCTCTTACACCATGGTCAACACACACATCTATGGTCAATTGTACAAAAACCCTTCTTTAAAACCACAATCCCAAAGTGGCCCAAAAGTAATTTGCAAGACTAAATTGTGAGCCTACCCTTGTCACAAATCCAAGGCTCCATCCTAGGCTTAATCTCAATCCTACACTTGTCAACCATCCAAGCCAACAAGTGCACCAATCCTAGACCAACAAGTGGGTGAATCTCCATCCTCCAAATGTCACAAGATGATGCCTCCAAGTCCCTCCATCCCAATGCTAACAAGTGGCTCCATGAGAATGTGACACTTGTCACACTTTCCAAAAATTGCAAAAAGGTCCTTGTTAAAAATATCTTCCAAATTAAATTGTAAAATGGTCCCTAAGACGAAAAATAATTACTTTACAGTAATTATACAAAAACCCCAAAAGTTAGGAAAATTACAAAAAGGTCCTTGTTGAAAATATCTTCCAAATTAAATTGTAAAATGGTCCCTAAGACGAAAAATAATTACTTTACAGTAATTATACAAAAACCCCAAAAGTTAGAAAAATTACAAAAAGGTTATGCGTCTATACTCTTTACAATAAAAGTAAGCACTTAGCATGCTTTTCTACAAAAGTGAAAATACACATAGTATGGAATTTAATATCGTGGATTCATGTAAAACCGGAATCAAATCCGAATACGAAAAGTGAGGTTATGCCAACAAAGTGACAACCGAGAAAAAGACGAAAAGTGAATAGTGTCACAAAAGTGAAAATGACTCGGTCCTTAAAGAAAGTCGTCATTCCAAGGAAAAATGTCTCGGAAACCATCCCCGAGCACTCAAGATGACATTAAGTGGTGAGAAACCGAATTTAAAAAGGAAAAGATCAACGGAAAAAAAATATCCATGAAAATCTGAGAAAAGAAAAGGAATGAAAATGACCGGGTCATTACAGACTATAGATATATATATATATATATATATATATATATATATATATAGTTACATGCTTAGCGGAGCGGAGCGAGGTGGGGCGGGGCAGGCAAGCAGGCGGGCTGGGCCTCGGCGGATATGTATAAGAACTCTTACCCGTGACGGGTGCAAATTTTGTATTCATACCCGCTCCAACGGTATAAAAGTTGTTCCCTTATCCATTATTAATGGGGCAGGATGGGCTGGGGACCCGGTGGGGCGATAAAAATTGCCACTCCTAGTGGTATCTTCGTTCTGCTACTTCCTTCATTCTTTCTCTCTCTTATTCATGTTTTTATTTATTTTTATCTAATCAAATCTCCAAAACTGATACAATATACTGAAATCAAAATATATATTGAAAAAAAAGACATGAAAGTGGAAAAGAGAGAACCGTGAAAGTGGAAAAGAGAGACCCGTGTGTCAGAGACAAAGATATCATTGTGGAGAAATCAGAAAGATAGAGAGGGGTCGTCAAAATCTTTCAGCTTCTTTCCATATTTATTCCAACATATATGTAAGCAGCATTATGTTTTCACCACCATAGGCCATTGTAGCTCCAAACCTTATGCAAATATATCTGAGTGTGGTACTAAACGAGGTGCTATGATCCTCTATATAGTAGGGCTGCAAGTTAGGCAGGCCCAACCCAACCCAACCCGGTCCCAACCCAACCTCAATCCAAAATCGGGTTGGGTTAGGCCAACCCAACCTCAACCCAAAATCGGGTTGGGTTAGGCCAGCCCAAAGTTTGCAAAATCTGGATCCGAACCCAAATATTTAGACGGACCGGACGGGTTTCACAGGTCAATTTTTTTATTTTATTTTATTTTTATTTATTTACTTTTTTTTACAAATATACAAATTACATTTTCCTTTTTCCATGTTTGTAAAAATCAAATTTTTTTTAAAAAAAATCATTAATACTTGTCCATAAGCAAATGTGAACATCCATAAGCATACCATTTTTCTGTTTATTACAATTGAAAGAATGCAAGAATTGTTTCTTTTGGGTAATTAAAAAAATATCAATACAATAATATGCAACTTTATAAATTTTTTATATTATTTTTGAAACCCTGTTAATTTCATTTGATATTGGAATATCATTAGAATAAAAAACAATACTTTAAAACGAATAATCATTGTAATATATTAAATAAATTATATATAAGTATTTCACGAATTTTCACTAACATTCATATTATATCCATATACATATATATATATATGCTTGTTTTTGTGACTTGCATTTTTTATGCCGAATTTTTAAACTTACTTTGTTTTATATATAAAAAAATATTAATTATACTATCAGGCAGCTTTGTTTACTGTACCATATTTAGCTACAGTCCAAAGTTAAAGGAAACGAATGTTTATCTATTTATTTATTTATTTATTTATTTATTTATTTTTTAATAGCAAGATTTTCTGATTTGTCTTTTTATTTTTCCAGTCAATTAACAAGAATTTGTTTCCTTTTTTTACTTATTTTTCCTAAAAATAACTGGAATAATTGAAAAATGGCTTCCACAAAACAACAGCAATGTTTGAGGGCTCGATTAATTAATTTAATTCAACTGAAAATTAAAAAAAGTTACAAAAATTTGTTTGGTTCACAAATTTTGAAAACTCAATTAAGCAAAAGTCATTCTGATTACAATATTACAGTATAATATATATATATATATATATACATATATATTGTGGTATTGAGATCTGATTTGAAAATTTAAAAATAAACAGGCCTTCAAACTTTCATTTGAGAAGCATGACAAGTTAGGGTTGGATTGTAGAATTGTTTAATTTGGGGTTTTGGGTTAGGTCCAGATTGAACCCACCCCAATCCAAACAAACTTGGGTTTTGATAAAACCAAACCGATTTAAACCCAATTTGTAAATTTAAAAGCCCAAATTCTAAAATTTCTGGGCTGAAATCGGGTTGGGCTGGGTTAGTCCCCAACCTCCATCTTCCCCCTACAAAAATCAAAGCCATTTGAAAACTACTTAGATAAGATGATCGAATACGTACTTCGTGGTTGAATGTATATGTACCTCTGATGGAAATATTATGTTAAGAATCAAGATGCACCCATGACCTGCATTTGTGTATAGCATATAACAAATATTAGTCCATTGTGCTTTGATGGAAGTAACAGCCTCTCTCATCATCTTCATCCATCGCTGCCTTAATCCCACACTAATTTATTCTATCTCATTTCATCCAAAACTTATCCATTTCATATCATTTAACCTGCCATATTATTGAAAACAGAGTTTCAAATTGCGCAAGTGTACAAATTCAAAAATCCAAGAGTCCTTCGAAAATGCCTAATGAATTACAAATTATTGCGAAGGAAAAACTGACCATATAGATGCAGGGGAAAAAAAATAGAGAGATCAAGAAAAGGTGATCAAAAGTCGAATGTAAACATAATACTCTTCTCGGTGGATATTTTATCTGTCCTCACATTTCAAAGAACATTACATCCAGACAAATTGCACAGTCTGAGGGGTAATCCTGAGAGAATCACGAGGGAAGAGCGATGTTTTGCGAATGTTGTTAAGGGCACAAAACAACATCACTACACGCTCCAACCCCACTCCAAACCCACCATGTGGGGGTGCACCATGCCTGCGACACAGAACAATTAGATCGGAGATGCAAATCTTTGGAGTGGAAAAGCTCGAATGTGTTCCACAGCATTGACTTCTCAAGTTCAATTTTAATAATTATTATTTTTATTGTTTTGATTTGTTCTTCTTATTTGATACAGCTCCATATATATCTCTTATAATTCTACTTGATTTTATGATGATTCCTCCTTATTCTTGGCTAGCTTTGTGATCGATCAACTACTTTGAAATTGTACTCTCTTACATTGCATGTGTTTCATAATTTAATGTGATATATTTGATCATTATGAATACAAAAACGAAATAGGTAAATGCTACAGTGCTCGATTGATCGATCAAATTTTTTATTATTATTTTATTATTTATTATTTTTATTTTTTAATTCCAATAGATAGAATCCGAGGACTCTCAATAAGAAATACGCACCCTCCTCTTTAAAGTGTTTCAATCAATGATTATCACATTAGTAAGAGGTAACAAATATAGATGGGATAAATTTATCCTTTTCCAATGAATTATGTGCATGTAAGAGACAAAAGCCAATTACATTTCATTCTAGTCCCAAAAGCCCATGTATGAGTCTCTTGACTAGTACTTTGTTTTCCACAATTCCCATACTACACATCCTATTTACAGAGTGTAAACACTTGCTTATCTTTTCCATTGATTTCAATGGCAGAAACCTAACCCTTGGAGAGGAAAAAAAAAAAAAAAAAAAAATGGCCAGACCTTGCATACCATTGAAAGATGGACTACAAGATATCGTTGAATTAAAAATTGAAAGGTTCCCAGTTTTACAGCTATATTATTCGTTCTCACACCAAAAAATTTAACAAAATGAACTTTACGCAACCGGCATTCTTGATTTCCATCAGACCGGGCAACAAAAATACACCAAAATTATGGCTTCTCAAGCGTCTTCCACAGAGAGAGAGCTCTTCTGATAGTTGGATCTGCTGAAGATCCTTCTGCATAAGCACTCATTGCTGTCAAGAGGCTTGTGAATTTCTCCCCGTTGTCCTGTGTTTTATACAAACAAATCTTAGCATTTTAGCTGTCATTTTAATAAAAGAAATACGGAAATATGCTGTTTCATCACCAAGCTCAATAACTCTTGTAAAACAAATGTCAGCGATAGCATCAATTATGTTTAGTGAGTCAGAAGCAAGACTGCAGAGACAAACTCCAGACCATCTACTAGATAATATAATCCAATACAATATGATATATAGAAACATTTTAGCTGTCAACTGGAACACTCGTTGCAATTTAAAGTCGCATAATGCAGCAAACAGAGAACCAGTCTTCTCACAACAATAAGAACGACTAGAGCCACTCCAATCACTGTTGGAGCCCAGAGTTCTAAAGAGAAATCTTAATGTTCTGATAAAATACTGAAATATATTGATCAAATATTTTGTACCGCAGAGAAAAAGGGCTGCCCTTTTATAATACACCCAATAATGACCTCTAATCTTCTCTAGACATACTTCAGAATCCCCAAACAACATTAACACCACCTTTACGGTCTTAGCCACTTTACTAAGTGATCATATAAATTCCAAAGCTTAATTACTGCTCAGTACCCAAAAAGAAGAAGGCTCTCTGACTTCTTCAAGACACTTTCTAAAGCCCTATTAGTTATTTGCATTCCAAAAGAATTGGGAGGGCCAACAAGGGAAACATGTTAACAGTGAAATGAAGCTTTGAAGCTAATAAACCTATATAAAAAATGGGTCAAAAGGTGAAAAAAAAAAGCAGCACAAAGTCTTGGTACCAGCTAGTAAAAAGAAGAAAAGAAATGCCCAGGACAATGACGACGGAAGCAATGCTGAACATATTGATGATTTAAAGATTGGAAACATGTCTGGGTGTCCATAAGAGTGTTTACACAATGGGTTGTTTTGCTGTTCTCTAACTATACAAAGTTGGCTTATCATAAATTTTATATGGATTAACTCGAAGGATCAAAATTACCGAAGCTATGTGATTTTAGAATATAATCTTGGGAAGTACTTGAGCTTGCATACAGAATTGAATAAAAATTTAACGATTTGCGTGAAACCATGTCCACAAAAGGACATAATTAAATTAGACCATAATTGCAACACTGATATTTGCAATTATTAGCAAAAACCAGGCAGTCTAAGTATACCAAGTGGCACAAACCTCTGGTTTCTTGAAGATGAGATCATCAATGGAAAATGGAACCATGTACGATGGAAGATCAGATCGTAGCAGTGCCTGTCATAATGTGAAGCAAATATATCAAGACAACAAATATGTTATGCACTAAGACTACCTGATTGAAAGGAAGTCTTGTATATTGAGTTTGAGGTCAACACATATTTAACTAGACTACTTATAAATTTTAAATCCAAATTTTAGCTTCTCTATCCCAACTTAAAAATTAAAATTTTCAAATTTCAAATACTTTTTTTTTGGTTATTCCATACTATCTTTATCCATGATTTATTTTACTAAATATCTTTTTGTTAGGTCTTCAAAGTTGTCCATGTACAAAAAGGTTATAAAAAGGACCCAACTAACTTATTGATAGTCTCGGTATTCCTACAAAATTTTTGGATCCTACCTCCATCTGTGTTGGGAAGGGCAAGGCCTTCCCTGCAGCCTCCGGGTGTGTAACCCCTCATAGCCTCTTGACCCACAATAAAAATGGTAGTAATAATATAGTAGATATATATAATATCAATCCATTGAGAAACCACTCTGAGGGACCAAAATCTAGAGGTGAGGTGGCCTTCTACCAGAAAATCAAAAAATGGGGTGACTTAACTGCAGTAACTTTTTATTAGCAAGATAAAGAACATGACCACCAACATGGTATCACCAAAGATAAAGAACATGACCGCAAGGAACTTTAGAGCCTAAAGTATTAACGTTAGCTCAACTGCCAACAAATGTACATTGATACATGCATGCCTCCATGCACAAGTGTTGTGCATGTAAAAGATCCTCTAATAGGACAATTTTCTTCTTCAATAAACCCATATGCTCGCCATCTAGATGTGTGCTAAACGTGGAAGAAAAGTGTGGTCCATCACGTATTGCTCCATCAGGATTACACAATGTGAGGTAAGGTTCCCATATAGGCTATAACCAACAATAACAGCAAAATAAATAAATAAACAAATTAAAATCAGAGAATTAAACTATTGATAGATCCTTATGGTTCTGCTCAATAATTCTCATAGTGTAGTCATTCTAAGCAACATCTATAGAGAAGTAGCTCCAGAATGCTTTGCTTCCTCTCTCTAGGCGCAGTAAAAGATGTCCCTGCATTATGCTATTCAAATCTAAAAATGAAATTTGGAAGTTGATGAAGAGGACAATGTTTCAGCATGCAGAAAATCCATTGTTCCTGTAAAACAAATCTACAAAATCAAACAACAGTGAAGTGGACAAGATTACCAAGTTCTTGCTTAGGAGAGCCCGTTCAGCATTTGATATCAAGGCCTACAATTAAGAAGCCGTTGTGAAACATATCATCAATTTACTGTATTTTTTAATAATAGAAAATAATAAAGTAAATGCCCATTAAGAAAAATTAAAAATAAAAATAAACAAGAAGCCACAGGAACCCAAGATTCTTAAGTAAAGGCCTGAAGATGGTAAGAAAAAGCAAAAGAAATAATTATATATCTGAAATTCAATGTTTACAAAGAAAATAATGGTTCCACAGACATTTATGAAAATTCAATGTCTAAGAGATGGAAATAAATGGTTAGTTGCAATTTAACCTTATCCACTAATACTTTATGGACTAATAATAATTTCTCTACAGAAAATCTCATCACTTCATTAATTTTTAGTGGAATAGTATGTAACTTAAATAAAGTAGGATTACTTGACATATATTTCTAATTTGTAATTATATTATATCTCTAGTGCTTTAAAAAATTTATACCTTCAAGCTAAAAGTAATTATCCATTAATACTTTATGTACAATATTCTATTTATGGACTTATAATAATTTCTCTACAGAAAATCCCATCACTTCATTAATTTTCAGTGGAATAATATGTAACTTAAATAAAGTAGGATTACTTGACATATATTTCCAATTTGTAATTATATTATATCTCTAGTGCTTTAAAAATTCTATACCTTCAAGCTAAAAGTAATTGTCTGAAAACTTTGACTAAAAGGTTGTATCTAGTGCACAAGGTTCCAGCATTTAGTGAGTCTAAGAGAGGCAGATGGTAGGCAGCCTTCCCCTATTTCTTAGAAAGGCTGATTCTAGGACTCGAAACCGGGCCATTGCAGGGGGTGGATGAGCACTTGACTATCACGCCAGGTCTGACCTAAAGCATGTGTTCTTTTATAGGAAATTCTTTTTATAGAACATACAAGCACGTGTTGTTTCAAGATTGGTCGGCGTCGCATGAAATGTCATTTCTCTAGTTGGTAAACATCTATTCTGTCCAAGTTTATTTGCTCTGTATCTACTAGAATTACTAGTACTAATTATATTCCACCATACGTCAGCTTAAATTAGTACACTTTACAAAAAGAAATACAGAAAAACAGAATACATTTTTTAGGCCACAGTAACCAGATAGTATATGATTGAGTTACATTAATGCATCTTTCTCTTTTCTTTTCCTTTCCTAAGTTCATTTTTGCTTTTCTCAAAAACCAAACAGGGGCCAAGTTTGTAATAATATATCTGTTAACAAAGATGCAAGCAATTTCAATTGGAATGAGACACATGTTACGCAGCTCTGTTGGCTTCAGACTAGGGCATAAAAACAATCATATTGGTAGTTAAATGCGCATCAATCTGGATCCATATCCAAATTCAACTTGGATCAGATCCATAAGGACCACTGACGGCACTCAAATCAATCTCATATCTGACCATTCATGTCTTACAAACTAACTTTAATTCCATTACCAGGACTTACACACTGTATATATTAACTAAAGCGGATTTGAGTAAATGAGCTCCACTTGTGTCTTAAATTAGGTAGGTTACCAATAAAATAAGAGGTGGATATATCAGAATATGCAACACACATTGTAAATTGTAAGTAAGTGACCTTTCTGATACGTTCCTCTTCAACTTGATCAACATGTTGTAACAAGTTCTCCAACGTACCTATCCAATAGAGGATTAGATTACTAAGTTAGCATATTAACAATTACACTCTGGAATAGTAAGGAAAAATAAGTACAAAAAAGTGGTAATCCTGTCTCTCCGAAACATTTTCCGAAAGTATTTAATGCATCCACACTTTAAGTAAAAAAATTTAAATTTCTGAATCTTTTCACTTCCAAGACTTCACACTTAGTCTGTACATAAAAATAGAAAAGAATTATTTGGAAATTTTTACTGTTTTTGTCATAAGATATGCATAAGTAAGGGGGATATGCATAAGTAAGGGGGACAAAGCTTGAACCGACCCAATGGGTGGAAATATTGACTGTTGACCATTAAACTATTTATATTTTAGTGTTTAAACCTGCAGTCATTAATCTATTTAAACATTAGTTTTAATATGTCAACCCAATAACAAATCAAAATCTATTTGAATTTTATATATATGAATTAGAGTCAGGAGCGGGAGGCATGTCAGATTTTGGGAGGACCGATGGTGTGGGAACTTTTTGTTATCTCGTAGATTTCCTAGTTTTTCAGAATTTCTGTGAACAAACATGCTGCAGTTGCTGAATGTTGTCAGCTTGATAATTGAAGGGTGAATTGGGATGTGCAATTTCACAGAGAGTTACATGACTGGGAGCTTATAGAGGCTACAGATTTCCTAGCCCTGATTTACAACCAGGTGGTGGAGGGTGTGGGCATGGATGAGATGGTGTGGGAGGGATCCTTGAGAGGGGAATTTGAGGTTCGATCCTTTTATCAAAGTCTTATGGATATCCCAGGTCCCTCTTTCCCTTGGAGATCTCTTTGGAAGACGAAAGCCCCTATGAGGGTGGCTTTCTATGCATGGTCTGCTGCCCTTGGAAGCAATCTCACTCTCGACAACCGCAGAACGAGACATCAGGTTGTGGTGAACTTGTGTTGTATGTGTAAGAAGTAGGGGGAATCTGTAAATCACCTTCTGCTTCACTACCCCTGGTGAGGGATATTTGGGCTATGTTCTTTTTTATTAGTAGTATAGAAAGTGTTCAAAAGGGGAACGTGTCCCAAGAATACACAGAGGCCGAATCCAAAGCCAAAAGAGGGGTCCTAAGGACCCAAAGAGGCCAGAAAGTCAACAATCTCCTCAATAGATGTACAATATCTGCCCATACCCCAACAAAAAATGAAACTAATAATACAAAATTTTAAAACAACAATGGGAGACTCCTCTCCATCAAAAGATCTGCTATTTCTCTCCTTCCAAATGCACCACCAACCACGAAGGGGTGCTACCCTCCAAAAAAGGCGAGCATGTGGACTCACCCCACACCCTCTCCAAGATTCCATTAAACCTCTCGCCGTCCGGGGCATAACCCAATCAAACAAGCCAAAGATCGTGAACCACAAGCAATGCAATAGCAGGCGATCCATTGACTCACCATCCTTTTTGCACATGCAGCACCAATTAACAGTAATTTGCCTTCTCCTTATGAGGTTGTCAAGTGTTAGAATCTTGCCCCAAACTTTAGTCCAAACAAAAAATACCAATTTTAAGGGAGCCTACGAGCGCCACACTGTCTTCCAAGGAAAATCAACCCTGAGAAACCCGAAAGGCAACAAAACAAGGACCGAACCTCGAATCTCCCCTGAGTAGAAGGCACCCAATAAAGGAAATCCGTACCTCCACCATCCAGTGTCTGTCTATACAGCAGATTAAGAAAGTCAAAAACAACTTCCAATTCCCAATCTTGAAAATGTGGACAAAAACGCACATCCCAAGTAATCCTTCCGCTATCAAGCCGATATCAGTCATCTACCAAACCATGTTTGTCCATGGCAATCTTGAAAAGCCTTGGAAAGTGTCCTCCCAAAAACCGAGTGTCCCTGCCATCTCGAACTTTGAATTTGATGTGTTTCGAAAATTCATCCCAACCCTTCCGAATAAACTTCCAAACCCCAACACCACCAACCGCAGGAGAGCACCACCCACCTCTCTCCTCCCCAAAACGGCAAGATATGACCCTCCTCCATAACCAATGTCGCTCCCCTCCAAACCTCCACAGCCACTTCCCTAGGAGAGCCTTATTAAAAGGGATCACCCTCCTAATACCCAAACCACCCAACTGAATAGGCCTGCACACCTGCTCCCAACGAACAAGATGGTATTGAATCTCATTCCCCAACCCACCCTAAAGGAAATTCTGCTGAAGCATTTCAATCCTTTCCACCACGGTGGCCGGAATCTGAAAAAGAGTGTGAAAGTATGTGGGAAGACTCGTCAATGTGCTCTTCATAAGGGTGACATTCCCGCCTTTCAAAAGATACTATTTTTTCAACCCAGCAAGCCTTTTCTCAAACCTCTCAACCACAGGGTCCAAACCCCCACCCTTCTCGACGGAGCACCCAAAGCCTTTGGGAAAGAGGAGATCCCACATCTAAGCACTGTTGCAAGCTCGGAAATGTTATGCACCTCCCCCGGAACTAAGGAACTCTTTCCCACATTCACTTTAAGGCCGGATACAGCCTGAAAGCAAACCTAAACACATCTCAAATATCTCATCCAGGACACATCTGCATCACAAAGTATCATCCGCAAATAACATATGGGAAACGTCAATCTGATGATTCGAGTCTCTGCCCACTTTGAAGCCCCTAATAAATCCTAAATCCATAGCCCTCATCAATCTGCTAAAAGCCTCCATAACAATGATGAACAAAAAAGGAGAAAGAGGATCCCGTTGTCTCCACGCCCGAGAACTGCCAAAGAAACCGGACGGAAACCCATTCACAAGCACCGAGAATCTCACTGACGACATGTAGAACTCGATCCACCTCCTCCATCTCTCCCCAAATCCTAGCCTCTCCAACATATAAAGCAGAAAACTCCAACTCACATGATCGTAAGCTTTCTCAATATCAAGCTTACAAATAACACCCAGAATAACACTACTCAGCCTAGAGTCCACACACTCACTGGACACAAGGGTTGAATCCAATATCTGCCAACCACCAATGAAAGCATTTTGAGATTCTGAAATAACTCCATCCAACACATCTCTCAACCTCGGTGCAAGGACTTTAGCTATTAGCTTGTACAAACAACCCACCAAGTTGATAGGTCTAAAATCCTTCACATTAGTGCCTCCACCCTTCTTAGGAATAAGAGCAATAAAAGCAGCATTCAAGGATTTCTCGTCTTGAATGCTGTATTTGAGAGACCCAAAAGAATAAAGAAGACGATATATTGTATTTGAGAGACTAAATAGGAGATTCCTTGAAGAAACTGGTCTTGCCTCCTTCCTTCCGACAGAGAAAAGAAGAGAAGAAAAGTTGAAGAATCTAGTCTTGCCTCCTTCCTTCCAACGAAACCACTTTCCAGGTTAGTAGTAATTTCATTTAAGTTTTTTTTCCCCCCTCTTCTCTCTCTCATCTTCTTTTTTTTTTTTTTTTCTTTTTTTTTTTTTTTTATTATTTTTTTTTCCCTCCTCCTCTTCTCTCTCTCATCTGGTTTTTGTTTTTGTTTTTGTTTTTTTTTTTTTCCCCTGGTTCTCCATTTTTTCTCTCTCGTTTTTTTTTTTTTCCCCATCTTTATGGGTCTCTGTTTTTCTTTTTTTTCTTCCGGCTCTATTTTTTTTCCCCCCTCCTTTTCTCTCTCCATTTTTTCTGGTTCTCCATTTTTTCTTCTTTCTCGGTTTTTGTTATTTTTTTTTTTTTTTATTTCCTTCTTTGTGGGTCTCTGTTTTTTTTCCTCCTCTTCTCTTCTCCTCTCCTCTTCTCTCTCTCATTTGGCTTTTTTATTTTTTTTTTCTGGGTCTCTGTTTTTCTTCATGTAGGGCCTCTGTATTTTTTTTTTTTTTCCTCTCCTTTCTGAGTCTTCTCTTTAGCCTAAAATGCTGCTCTACTATTGTGGACTAAATACATGCCCTTCATCTAGCTGCCGATCATGCCAATTTTTTTTTATAAAAAAAATGTTGTTGTGCTATGATGGACTAAATATGTGCTATTTTTTTTTTTTCTTCTTTATGGGCTCTGTTTGCTAGAATTTGCTACATAGTTTAAATTTTGAATGTTTGTGCCTGAATGCTGATTGCTGAATTGCTTGAATGCTTGTTTGCTGAATTTAACTTGGTCCATTGACTCCATTATATTTCTCATTGTAAATAAATAGGAAAAAATGTCAAAGGATCCAAGTTGGAATTACTGTCACCTGCAAAACCCACAAGATAGGAATGCAACAACATGTAATTTTTGTGAAAAAGTTATGAAAGGAGGTATTTATAGGGCTAAGCAATACATTGTAGGGAGATATAGAAACGTACAAGCATGTAAAAAGTGCCCTGAACATGTGAAAGAAGAGATTAAAGAATATATGAGCAAGAAGAAAGAAGAAAAGGAACACACAAATTTGTTGCCTGATTTTGATGACATGGATGATCAAGATGAGGATGAGGTAACAATTATTGATGTTAAGGGTAAAAGAGTGGCAAGTGGAACTGGAAGCAATAATATTCAATCAAAAAAGCAAAAGTAGAAAGGTCCTATTGATTTGTACTTTACCCCTCCTCCGGAAGTAGTTGTGCAAAATAGAAAAAATGACAAGGGTAAGCAAACAACAATTGATAATGCTTGCAAGAAAAAACTTAGAAACCGAGCATGTCAATGGTTTGCAAGATGGATGTATGATGCTGGGATATCATTCAATGCCCTTAATTATGATAGTTTTGCACCAGTTGTTGAAGCTATTGGCCAACATGGTCCAGGAATGAAACCTCCTTCTTATCATGAGGTGAGAGTTCCCCTCCTCAAGAAAGAACTGGAGCATACAGACAATTTAATGCGGGATCATAGAGAGGAATGGGCAAGATACGGATGCACAATTATGGCAAATGGATGGGAGGATAAAAGACACAGGTGTTGGATTAATTTTCTGGTGAATTGTCCTAAAGGGACAATGTTCATTCAATCTATTGATGCTTCCTTTTATTCAAAGACCGGTGAAAAAATGTTTGACTTGCTTAACAAGTTCGTGCAGCAAATTGAAGCATCAAATGTGATTCAAGTAGTCACTGATAGTGCCTCTTCTAATGTTGTGGCAGGTATAAATTTCAATATGTACTTGATGTGGAAATTTTAGGTTTATTACTTCTAGCCTTCTATTAATCCATATTTTCTTTCTTTACAATAGGGAGAATGTTGGAGGGAAGGCACCGACATTTGTATTGGTCACCTTTTGCTGCACATTGTGTGGACTTGATGTTGGAGGACATTGCTAAGATCCCAAAGATAATGATGACCATAAAGAGAGTTATAATGTTAAATGGTTATATTTATAACCGTTCGGGTTTGTTAAACATGATGAGGCATTATATTGGACATAAAGAGTTGCTTAGACCTGCAACGACTCGATTTGCCACTTCATTTATCACGTTATCAAGCATCCATCATCAAAAGGATTGCTTGAGGAAGATGTTCACTTCACAAGAATGGATCTCCAGTAAATGGGCGAAAGAGATAGAAGGGAAAAATGTAGCACAGATTGTGTTGATGCTTACATTTTGGACAAGCATTGTGTACTCTCTCAAAGTAGCAAGCCCTCTTGTTCGTGTACTTAAGTTGGTTGATGGTGAGAGAAGGCCTCCAATGGGATATATTTATGAGGCTATGGAAAGGGCTAAAGAAGCGATAGCTAAAGCTTTTGGTGAGAATGAGGAGAAGTATAAGGACATCTTTAAGATCATTGATACTAGGTGGAATATCCAACTCCGTCGCCCTTTGCATGCAGCTGGGCATTTCTTGAACCCAGAATATTTTTATAGCAATCCAAATATTGAGCAAGATGAAGAGGTGATGGGTGGTTTATATCAATGCATAGAAAGATTGGTTCTAACCACTGAAGTGCAAGATAAAATTTCTTTAGAGTTGAGTAGATATATGAAAGCTGATGGTCTATTTGGCTCATCAATTGCTATTAGACAAAGAAAGTCAAGGGCACTAGGTAAACAAGTCAATTAATCATTCTTTAGTATATTTGAATTTGAATTTTGTTAATTTTTTACTAATAATATGTAAATAACAGCCGATTGGTGGTCCGCATATGGTTCTACAACTCCTAATTTGCAAAAGTTTGCCATTAAAGTGCTTAGCCTCACATGTAGCGCATCTGGGTGTGAACGATATTGGAGTATATTTGAACATGTAAGTTTGTAGTATTAGTAATTCAATGATAAAAAATTAGATTATAAACAGTTATACACTTATACTTATTAGTTATTAATTATTTGAATTAATGCAGCTTCATAGCAAGAAGAGGAACCGGCTAACTCAATGTTGATTGAATGATTTGGTTTTCATCAAGTATAATAGAGCACTAAAACGACGATATGACATGCGTGATAGGATTGATCCCATCCTTTTAAATGATATAGATGATAGCAATGAGTGGTTGGTTGGAGTAATGGATGAAGATGTAGATGCTGAAAATGAGTTGGTGTTTGAAGATGACTCTTTGACATGGGGTGCAGTTGCTAGAGCTACCAGGGTTGGAGAGTCCAGTCATAATTTAAGATCAAGATCAGCTCCAAGGGCAACAAAGAGGACAACACCTTCATGCTCGTCTTCACTACGAATCATAGATGATGACGAGGCAAACTCTGAGGAGACAGAAGAGGAAGAAGATGCTGAGGGTTACAAATCTTTTGATGGGGACGATGATGAGACTATGTTGTTTGGTGAAGAGGATGATATTTAGGTCCCTTAACATTGTTTGGTAACTTTGGTTTTAGGAGGCCTTGTCAAAACTCAAAACTAAAACTAATATTTTGTTGCTTGGTTTATAGATTTGGTAGGCTACTAAGTTAAGTATTGACTATGATACTTTATAAATTTGGTAGGCTACTGAGTATCTTTTGATGAATCTGTTTTGGAGTCAAATGATAGCTTTTGCTTAAGACATCAAGTATAAATTTATAATATATGGTTAATTGGCTTATGTTTTGCTCCTTTTGAATCTTTCTTATGAATAAATAGCTTTATTAGTTTAATTGTTCTATTTTACTGGTTGCTTTATTGGTTTAATTGTGATATATTTAGACTAATTTAGTGTTTTTATTATTGGATGCTCATTGTTTAATTGTGTTATTTTTGCTAAGAATTATTATTTTAAAATTTTACTTGTGCGATTCACATCACTCAGGCTCGCGTCTCGCCGTGCGCCTCGCGCCTAGGCTCCAAGGGACCTCTAGCACCTCGGTGCGCCTTGGGCTTTTAATAACTATGACAGCCAGACTAACCATTAGCTTGATTTGATTTCACTCAAATGCTGAGGTGGCCTTCATGTAGTCATTTTCAAAAAGAGCATGTAGTTTGTTCATAACTCATCAAATCATGAACAATGTGTTTAGCCAATAATTAATCAATAATTAGGATCATTGATCAGCTTACCAAGTTCCAATGCCCACACTCGATTTGACGACATAGTTCCTATTTTTTTTTCCTTGCTGACTACTTGTATAAAGGGGTTTGCCCCTCAAAAAATTCATGTGTATTTGTTGATATTCTGTTAAATAACTAATTCAGCGAAAAGAGAAAACTAGCGGTCAGGAGTAGTTGAAGCTTGAAGTCTAGGTTTAGCATCTGTTTCATAATAGGTCTATTATTTTCTTCATGTCGCGTACTGGTGCAGGTAAGAAAACTAAATGGAAGTAAGGGATTGGGGGCTTCATTCTTAATTTTCAGCCAAGAAAATGAAGGGAAAAAAAAAAAGAAAAAGAAAAAAAAAAAAAAAAAAGAAGAGAAGAAGTCATCTTATTGGCGTTGCAACAAAACACAGCCTAGGTTTAAAGAAAATGTGGGACAAGACATGTTAAGAGTTTAACATACCAAATTTCGTAATCAATTCCAAAGCATGGACATTTCCAATTCCTTCAACCCCTGCATTTGAAATTATAGCCGCATCAAGCTATAAAACTTTATATGAGGAGTATTATCCTTGACTAGCAATTATATCAAGTCTAAACAGGCATAAATTTCCATTGACATTAAAGAAGCATACAAAGAAATAAATCATAAATAAAGGAAAATTAGAACTACACCCTCTTCAAATAAATTTAATTAAAAAGATTATGAGGGTTATGCCGTCTAAATATGGTCATTGTTTATATCATATGAGGTTGGAATAACTGATAGAGCCCAATTTGTTGCTCTCTTGGGTGGAATGAACGAAGCTAAAGATATAAATTTACCTAGTTTATCTTGTAGCATCTATAAAAAAAAAAATTTGATAAATAAAATGTATTAGAAAGCGTTCAAAAAGGGAACACATCCCAAGAAATATACAAGGAACCAAACCAAAATACAACCCTATGGACCCAAAGGACATACATCCAACCTCCCCCGAGGAGAAGGCATCCAAACCAAGGAATCAGACCCTCTACCGTCCAAATCCTGTGTGTACAAAAGATTCAACAGGCTAAGGACATCATCAAGTTCCCAATCCTAAAAAGAACGCCGAAAACGCATATCCCACGTAAGCCTTCCATATCAAGCTGATAACAGTCCGCTGCCATAGCATGTCTATCCGCAGCAATCCTAAAAAGTCTTGGAAACAAACGAGACAACGGGCAATCCCCATACCAATAATCCTCCCAGAACTAGACATCCATGCCCTCCCGAACTTTGAACCTAATATGCTTAGAAAGCTCGTCCCAACCTTTTCAAACAAAATTCCCCACTCCCACACCAACAATAGATCTAACCGGCCTAGAAGACCATCCCCCTCTCTCCTCCCCAAAACGACACGCTATAGCCCTCCTCCATAAACGATGTCTCTTAGTACCAAATCTCTATAACCACTTCCCAAGAAGCGCCCTATTAACAGGGATCGTCCTCCTAAAACCAAGAGCACCCATATGAAGCTGCCTGCAAACATGCTCCCACCTGACAAGATGATTACTTGAACTCCTCACCCCGACCACCCTAGAGAAAATTCCGTTGGAGATTCTCGAGTCTGTCAGCAACAGTGCACGGGATTTGATAGAGGGATATGAAGTATGTTGGGAGACTAGACAAGGTGCTCTTCATCATAGTGACTTTCCCGCCCTTTAAAAGATATTGCTTTTTCCATCCAACCAATCTATTCTCGAACCGCTGAATCACTGGATCCCAAACATCCACCCTCCCAGCCGAAGCACCCAAAGGCGAACCCAAATGAACAATCAGAAAGGAACTCATCCCACATCCTAGAACCGCAGCAAGCGACGTCACCTCTTGAACCCCTGATGTAGGACAAAGGACAGGCTCAAATAGAAGAAAGTAAATAAGAGTTATGGGCTGGAAATTCAGTAACAAAGCTAAGATTCAGGGGTTGTTAGTAGAAAAGAAGGATTGAAATTAACAAAGAAAAGCCTATTGGAATCACTCCAATAAGACCTAGGTATCACACCTAGAGAAGGCCTCACACCCTCAGAATTTGTGAAACACTCGCAAAGAAATCTCAAAGGATAATTTTATTCAATCATTTGCTATGTATGCAGAGTTACATAGTATCCTTTTTATAATAAAAGATGACCCTTGGATTACCCTACAATGGAGGTAATCAAAAGTTGACTCTAACTTAATAAAGTGACAAATAACTTAATTGATACAATTTAATCTAATTATGCAATTTACCAAAACAATGCAGATTTTCCATAATTAATGCAATTACCAAAATAATGAAATTTGACCAAATCCCCTAATAATGCAATTTACCAAAATGATGCAGATTCACCATAATTAATGGCTTACCAAACTAATGCAATTTGACCAAACCCCCTGATTATGCAAGACTCCAAGTGGACCCCATCGTCTAGCATGTGCCAAATAAAGGTTTGAACTCTAGAATCTTTCTTGCCACGCCTTTTAAATGCGTTAAAAGGCTGATGCCACTGTTCTCTACCAACCCCACAGGGACAAGCACACTTTGAATATCTAAGTTGGGACACATCCGCATCACAGAAAACCAAAGTATCGTCCGCAAAAAGTCAATAAGAGATATCCATTTGCTACCTGTATCCTGCCCCATCCTGAATCCCCCATAAAACCCAACTCCACTGCCCTCCTCATCAATCTGCTAAAGGCCTCCATGACAATAATAAATAAAAAAGGAGAAAAAGGATCCCCTTATCTCAAACCTCGAGAGCTTCCAAAAAAAAGCTAGATGGGGACGCATTCACTAGTTTAGAGAATCTAACAGGAGAAATACAAGTCTCGATCCAGTTCCTCCATCTCTCCCCAAAACCCATCCTCCCCAACAAATATAATAGGAAATTCCAACAAACATGATGATATGCTTTCTCAATATCAAGCTTGCACGAACACCGCTCTTCAACCTAAAATCCACACATTCGCTGGCAATGAGTGCGGAATCCAAAATCTGCCTGCCCAATAAATGCATTTTAAGACACTGAGATGACAGTCCAAAACCTCCCTCAATCTCAAGGCGAGAACTTTAGCAATAAGCTTATAAATGCAACCCAATAGACTTATTGGTCTAAAGTCCTTAACATTGGACACAACTCCTTTCTTAGGGATGAGAGCAATGAAAGATGAACACCGACTTTTCGAACCTCCCATCAAAATGATACTTATAAAAGGTACCCATCACCTCATATCTCACCACCTCCTAGCTTTCCAACAAAAATCTCATAGTAAATCCGTTTGGACTCGGAGCCTATCACAGTTGCAGCTCTTTAGTGCCCTCAACACCTCTTCCTCTGAAAAAGGATTTTCCAAGCCATCCCTATCAATCATAGAAATTGAGTCAAAGTGAAGGCCATCAAGACAATCTCCACTATAACGGCTCAGAGTAAAGCCTCTGGTAAAAAGAACCAATCCCCCTTCGCACCTCCTCCTCCGTACACAACTCCACTCCGTCCACTTGAATCCTCCCAATGTGATTGCCCCTTCTGTGAATAAACTTTTTCCTGTTTTGGTTACGCAATGTAATAAATAGAGTTTTATTTGAGATGCTTGTGAGTATGCAATACATCAAAGGAATTCTCATCCTATTAGTAATAATAGAAGCATTACTCTTTTATGATTGTTCATTATGATGCATGGGATCTTCCAAGGTTGTTTTGCTTTTTGTCTATCGATGATTTCTTTACTTTTACTGATTGTTTTTCTCAAGTTACCTGGGTTTACTAATTACATCATAAAAGCGATGTGGTCACATGATTCCAGACATTTCACAAGATGATATGTATTGAGTTTGATGATAAAATTAATATTCATAGAACTAACAATGGAATGGAGTATACTGAAGGTGCCTTTCAAGCATATCTAGCTGACCATGGACTTGCTCATCAAACTAGTTGTGTTAATACTCCAGCACAAAATGAAGTGTCCGAATGGAAGAATCGCCATCTTCTTGAAGTAGCTCGCTCTCTACTATTCAGTATGGGTGTTCCTAAGACTTTCTAGGGTGATGCTATTCTCACTGTTGCATACCTCATTAATCGAACGCCTTTGAGAACTCTTGACTTTATGATTCCTATTGAGTTGCTTCAACGTCGTGGAATCATTCATTCCATTCCTCCACGAGTTTTTGAAAGTCTATATTTTGTTCACGATCACCAACGGTCTAGAGGGAAATTTGATCCCAAGGCGGTAAAATGAGTGTTTATTGGATACTCGGCAACACAAAAGGAATACAAGTGCTAACATCCTCCTCTTAAAAAAACCTTTTACTATCTTAGACGTCACTTTTCATGAGTCTAGGCCCTATTTTCTTCCAAACCATCTCTTCAGGGGGAGAACATGAAGGAGGAAGAAAGGTTTTTTTCCATTCTGAAGCTTACATCCCTAATCCTGTTCAACCTCCAGCTCATGAGGAATATGGAAAACAAGTCGAACAGTCCAACATTCATAACGAGAGGAGGGGGGGTTAGAGAGGGTGAAGGACAAGCTGATTACAGGAGATTGGATAAGGAGGATTTGCAGAGGTATGCTGGTCTAGATGTTAGATGGAGCAAATTCCCACTCATGTACCTCCACCACACTTATTGCAAGCTCCAACTCCAATTTCAGAACCCAATGTACCTCTACTCCCATTAGGTTTTTACTCTCAAGCAGAAAGCAGATGGAACTAGAGAGATCAAGGCACATCTGGTTGTTAATGGTTTCACTTAAACATATCTCATTGATTATCAAGAGACATTTGCACCAATAGCTATGAACTACATCAGTGTGTTTTTGTCATGTGCGGCCAATTTAGAGTGGAATCTTCAACAATTAGATGTGAAGAAAGCATTTCTTCATGGAGATCTGAAGGAAGATGTCTACATGGAGGTTCCGCCAAGATTCTCTTCCTGAAGGGAAGGTATGCAAATTAAAGAAGTTATGGGTTGAAGCAGTCCCTGAGAGCCTGCTTTGACCGATTTTATAGGCCATGAACAAGTTTAGGAACAAGCAAAGTAATGTTGATCATACCATGTACATTAAGCATGCTAAGGGCAAGATCATTGTTCTTATTATATACGTGAATGACACTGTGGTAACAAGAGATGATCTTGAAGAGGTTCCTAGGTTAAAAGCTCACTTAGCACATGAATTTGAGATCAAATTATTTGGGGAATTTACGATATTTTCTTGGGATACAGGTTGCAAGATCAAATAAAGGCATCTTTATATCTCGAAGGAAATATAATCTTGATCTTTTAGAAGAGACGAGCATGTTAGGATGTGTTAGAATCAGTAATTATGGTATAAATAGGTTGTGTAGATTTTACAACTCAGTAGATGGGGAGAAAACGTGTATTACAGCTGTATATATGTCCTGCAATTAGAATGTATATTCTGCTAGCTAATATCCCTGATTTATAGGGATTGTATTCTAGGAGTCAATATTCCAGTTTTGTAGGCTGTTTGCCTATATATTTTTTCCCTGTACATTGCTAAATAAATATAATATTCCCATTATTTCACATGGTATCAGACCTAAATGCTCTCTGGGAATCCGTGTAAATTTGTGGGATTTTTTTCAAGCAATACGGGATTTTTTTTCTTCCCTTCATAATTGACGTCAGAGATGAGATCCTTGACCTCCTGTGCCCCTTTTTAGGACAATAAGAGGCCTCGTATTCACTACCTCATCGGTCACTGCGACCTCTCTTCCTTCCACTATTGCTTGAAGAATGGATAGTGTCAGGTCATTGTTTCCCTCTGATGAAACACCCAACAACTCACTAGTAGCTCCTATATTTTCGACCACCACGACAGCCAATGGTTCCTCCTCTATCACGTCAGAATAGTCATTCTCCAGCCAAGGAACAAACTCATTAGAACTAACATGTCGGATGGAAACCAGATCAGTAGACACCTCCTCTTCACTATCTCTTCCTAATTCAAATGGCTCTGTCATCGAATCATAATCTGTAGTATAGTCTCCCATTCCATTACTCACGAATCTGACAAACTCATTCTCCTCAACCCCTACAGGTGGCAAGCAATTAAGGCCTTTCAAGGCTACATACAGGCGGAGTTCTTTGAGCAGAGCTATAGCCGACTCATTAGACAGCTGAAAGTGGAGATCTCTCCCCACACAGCTGAAAGTGTGGCAACCCACTGGCAACCTTACTTTCCGTAACCAGACCATGCTCAACTTCAGGTGTCGAAGGCACAACTGATAGCACACAGCTCTTCCCCATTGCTATCTCAACATCGCCTCTCACCGCCCCACAAGAAGAAGAAGAGGAAGAAGGGGCAGTAAGAGAGCTCCGGGAGTGAATAATAGAGGATATACATGGGTCATTAGTAGAGGTCCACTTCTGTTTGTCTTTTCTCGACCATCTATAAACATGGCTATGTCTATGAGAGTCCCGAGATGAAAATCTAGAGCTTCTTCCCTTTGTCAGTGCAGTGACTGGTAGAGACGTGTTTCAGCACAACACTGTAAATAACGAAAAACCTTCTTGTATATGCTCACACCAGCCTTGTCAGCACTAAGTTTCATCCATCTCCTCTTCTCCGGCAAAGTACAAAAATTTGCAGGGGTACCATGAAGAGGACGACTCTGTGAATGATCGATGCTGGGTTCAGTAAATGGACTAGGCTTTGAATTGAGAAAAGAAACACAGATCAGAAACCTTTCTTTTTAAGTCTTCTGGTGGCCCATTTCGTAACTTATCATTGTCGCGGCTGGGCTTGGGCAACTGTGGGTTGGGCTTGTCATTTAGGAAGGAAATAGATAAATGGTTGCTGGACCCCCACGTGACATTCCTCTTAGTATCCTTTGTAAATTGTGGCCCATGACAGAATAACAGCCCACTATTCATGGGTTTAGCAAGCCCAAAAGACAAATCATGGCCATACTTAAGCCCATCTGAAGCCACTGCTTGAAAGGTTCCTGTAATGCCACGTAGCCGTCCACATGGTTGGTTACCATCAAGGCGATCAAAACAAATATTTGAATGGCACTGATGACGGCTGTCATGCGTACGTCTCGTGGGTCTAATTTCCCCAATCGCAGCTGGCGTGCTCTAACCAGTGGGATTTGGCACAATTATTCTCTTTTCTACTGTCTTCTTCTCTCTTTCTTTCATCTTTCCTTTCCAAACCCAAAGCATCCAAAACCCTATAATAAATTTCAACAATTACCAATATATTCAGCCTGTTATGGCAACTTTCTACTTCTCCCTTTCTTTTGGGATTGAGTTGTGGGTTGATAATTGGCAGATTCCTTTAGAATCTCTTAAATTCTGCCAGATTCATTATGTTTGCTTTTCAAATTCAAGAATAACCTTACTTTTTACTTAAGTGGTTTTATAATTATGCTTGTTTGTTTAGACTCTATTGCATTGCTTTCTAAATCTAAAAATAGCTCTCCTTATTACTCGTTTCGTCAAATAGCATTTCTAGATGAATCAAAATGCTTTTAGAATGCCTTTCCAATCTAATCGTAGAATTTAATTGGCAAATTAGTTTTAGCTACAAGTGATTTCAAAAGTATTCAAGAAGAAAACAAAAGTAGCCTTCTTTTTACTCGAGCGATTCAATAATTGGTAGATTCGCGGAATGCTCTTACAGTACTTTAAAGTTTAAACCCAAGAAATTGGAGAGAATCCAAGAATATAATTTCTTGATAAATGGTATTGAATCTACCCAATGTATCCAAGAATAGCCTTAAAACTATTAATATTTTTTTTTTTTTTTTTTTTTTTTTAAAAAAAGAAGGAACCTAAGAAAATCTAGAGAGATTTGAAAATTTGGTACTGAATCTACCAGTATTATCCAAGAATATCTATAACATTAGAAAGCAAAGGAATTTAAAAGAATCAAAAGCAATCTTCACGCTAAAGACCTTCCTCTTCTCTCAAAATTTGAAGGAATCAATGAGAATTCGAAGAAATCTACGTGAGCAATTCAGTAAAGGTTATTCTAAAGGAATAAGCCAATGATTGATATTTCGTAGGTTCCTTTAGAATCCTCTAGATTTGAAAACAATCTAAAAGCATTTAAAGGGATCTAAGAACACAATTCCCTTTCGAAATCACTGAATTGCTCGACCAATAAGAAATGTTATTTTAAGAAAGACTGATTATCTAAATAAGTTTAGAATCTACCAATTATTGAATTGTTCAGGTAATAATAAGTTTAGGAATATTCTTGGATATTTAAAAAGCCACCTAAAGCAACTTTGACAAGTTAAAGAAATCAATCGATGATCAAATCATATCATCATCATCCTAGACATAATCCCATATGAATGGGGTCGGGCACATGAATTCTCTGTCTCCATTCTTTTCTGTTACATGGCATTTAACCTAATATGTTCAACTTTTTTAAGTCACTTTTAATAGCCAAAAGTTAGGTCAGTATCGAGTTCTGTGATGGGACCAAAACTAATCAATACCCTTACCATATTGCTCAATAAGTAGACAGGTACAGTAGAAACCAGATACCATAGGCATAATACAAATACACTGCGGCATTATGCTTAAATATTAATGGAAGAAAAATTAGGAAATGACATCCACTTATATGGTCCATGGACATATGGATAAAAGGACTTGATATGTTTAAAAAAATTAACTAGACAAGATACATCTTTAAAGAGAATGGTGAGCACAAAAGTGTATGGAACATTGCCCAGTGCATTGGTAAAATGTTTGAACGCATGAAGATTCATGTGGATGTGGGACTGAGATTGAGAGCAGTCTTTGTGAAAATATGTCAAAATATTTGGTCTATATCTAGTGTATCCCTCCTAGCACCTCATATTGGTGGATCAAAACTACATAATGTCCTTTAGTCAGCATAAAAAGGCATGGTAAAATGTAAAATAAATAGCAAAGCACACAATCAAAGCAGTATGAGCATGCAAACACCTAGTTAAGCTTTACCCTTTTAAGTTGAATAGCTCATTTATGATGCACAATGTTCACTATTTGTTGTAAATAGAAAACCTAATAGATTATCAATATTGGGAAAGACTGTAAGTTGGACTCTACATCCCAGAATTTTGATTTAAGGATATATAGCTTCAATATGAAGGAAACAAAAAGAGTCCATTTCCTTTTACGCATCCTCCAAACTAGATTAATGCCATTATGAAAAAAACACCCAAAGAAATGAAAAGAAACTAGCACAATTCCCGGCCAATGATTCCATAAAAAACTTCCTTTCTATTTGGAATTCCAAGACAAAATTATAAAGAACCTGGAATATTATCAGATTTGTCACCCATGAGTGAGACTACATCAACGAACTGAGAAGGTCTCAAATCTCCAAATTTTAAAGCAAATTCCTCCACCCCAAAGGACACCATTCTGAAACCAACACCAAACTTGTCAATACCCCAAATCCAATACAACAGAAAATTAGAAGTATTAACCTGGCTTTAAAAACACAAAAAATAAAATAGAAAAAGAGAAACCAACACCAAACGTGTCAATACCCCAAATCCAATACAACAGAAAATTAGAAGTATTAACTTGTCTTTAGAAACACAAAAAATAAATAAAATAAAATAAAATAAAAATAGAAAAGAGAGAAATTAAAAATTTAACGGTTTTGAGTAATTTTCATTGTTTTCACTTATTTTGACACTACTTGTCACAAAATTTTATTTATTTATTTATACTTTGAACTATACTTTAAAATATGTGAATTTATCTCAAATAATGCAAGGGATTTATCCTACATGCAACAAGTATAATGAGTTCCATAAGAGTAAGATTGTAAGTGCGTGAACGTGCATCAGGGCTCAAATGCTAACTACCGTCAATCTGTTAATTTTCTTTATTAGATCTCAGACTTGTGTTTGTGTTAGCAGCTAGTCCAGCTTATTCATTCAAAATCAGAGGCAACCTTCTGTGAGCAGTCCACTGAAAGTAAATTCCCCGTGAGATATTCTTCTGAGGACACCTTTCCCCCTTTCCCTCAGTGATTCTGTGGAAAGTAGTAAATGCTTTTGAGTGTTCTTCGGCATGTGACTTATCTATTAGAGAATTGAATTCAGATTTGCAGTAAATTACTAGATGGGAATTTTAATGCATTTGAAGTTTAACCCAAATCCATGAAGTGCAAAAATGTTTGTGCTTAAGAATGATAGAAGGGCCATTGGAATTGCCAATTTCATTAGCACCACTTCAAGGGTGGTGCAGCCTCTGTACATAGGATTTATACAAAACCATAGAAAAGCTATACCCTAACATCTGCCGTTCTAAAGAATCAACGAACACAGGAGAGCTCCCTGAGGTCATGCTTAACCTTCAAACAAGTCCTAATTCTCGCACTCCAAAGTTTAATACATACACAAAAGCACAACAATGTCTATGCTCAAGGAATGATGAAAGCAAGCAGTCTTACAATCCACCAAGCAACTTTTAAATCTATTTTCTATCCCACCCACAAGAAATCTGTCTGCAACTTCTCTAACCTCCTCACAACAGAAGTTGGGACCAAAGAGAGGTATAACATGAGCAGGTAGGATAGTTATCAAGTCTTCTCCCCTTGGATATGTATTGCTATTGATCCTGCCAGCATTCACTAAAATCTCTTAACCACAACATCCCGCATATGTAGCTGTGAAAGAGGATCACAGCTGCAACATCCTTAATCTACACCCCGAACTGACCACCTATTGCACCTCCCCTACTAGAATCGCTTAAAGAAACAGAAGATGAGTAACTTTCAAAAAGATTACGCCAAACGAGCCCAATTTTAACCCCTTTGAGAAAGATAGACTTCATGGTGTCCTCCCCACAATATGACTAAAGGCTTCCATAGCAACAATAAAAAGAAATGGGGATATTTACCTGGGACCCATTGAGCTGCTTGAGAAGCCTAACGAGATGCCATTAAAGAGAATAAAAACTCCATTGTGAAGATTCAAAACTCCAACCACATCTGCCCATGTCCCATCCTTTCCATGATATACAACAAGAACCCCCAATATATTCTCTCTCTTCTCTTTTTGACGTCAGAGTCTTCCACTCCGGCGTCAGCCATTTATGTCTGTCACTAGTTTTTCGTTCTTTTGGCAAGGAATCGAGACATGCATCGATCCTATCTTAGTGTTGTGACCTTACGACGTCTCAATTTTCACGGGGAAATCAAAAGCTGCTCTATAGGCAATGATCTGGTTTACAGGGTTGATCATCAAAGCATCTAGGAGCGTGAATCTGTCCTGCGATCATGTCTGGTAGGTCATTTTGACAAAGATGTGGGGTTTCTTTAAGGGATTGAGGTGTGGGCGTCGAAAACTTGGAAGGTTTCATGTGGGGTGAAAGTGTCTCCTTTACCTGATGATTTGCTCCTGTTCAGGTTTCCATCGGAGATTGAGGCCTTAACGGTGTTGGATGAAGGAAGAAAGAGATGGGGCGACGCCTTATTATCCATTGACATTTGGTACTTCGCCGCCGGCTGTTCCGCTGTAAAAGAACGAGTAATACGAAGGGTGATTTTGTTTGGTTTACCCCTCCATCTCTGGTGCAATAAGTTATTCGAAGCAATTGGGAACTTATGCAGTGGATTCCGAGGTGTTGAGGCGGACGTCTCGGCATGTGGACAGCGAGTTCTCCTCTATGTCTCCGTCAGAAAAGTGATGCCGGAGTATGTCTTTGTTGAGGACCAACGAGTGGCTTACAGGGTCAACTTGATAGAGGAAATAACACCTCGTATTCTTCCGAAATCTTACTATGGCGTTGGGGAGAGTTCATATATTCTGGTTGCTGCAAATGATGGTAGTCACCGGAATGTACAGATTTACCATGGCATCGAAGGAAAGAGGCAACAGCCTATTCACGTGCCAAAAGCGTGTAGAGGGGCCATCAATCAAACCCTTAATCAATGCCTTACGTTACCTCCTAATATCCGCGCTAACGCATACCAACCACGTGGCAGAGATCATGGCTTTAAAGGAGATTTTGATGGGCCTAAGAGTGGATCTGTAGCGGGTTACTGGCTTACTTCGTCAAATGGGCCGCTTGCATATCACGGCCCACAGGAGATGCAGAGGGTTGTTCATCGGGGGCCTCTTTCTTTTAAGAACAAGCCCAGCCCACAGCCCATTGCCAATTCATATTATGGACCAAATGTAAGTAACCTGAAGAGAAAGGTTTTGAGGGGGCCCAATAATAAAATGGTCGTTTCTTTTATCAATTCCAAGCCTAGCCTACCTATTTCTAAATGAGTCAATCACTCACAAAGCCGTCGTTCTGATGATACTTCTGCAATTTTTTGGAATTCACCAGAGAAGAGGAGATGGATGAACTTATCTGCCGCCGCGAATGGTGGAGGTCCTATTGAAAAGGGTTTTCGTCATTCTCAATGTTGTGCGGGTATCCCATCTTCATCTCTCTCTAATACATCACAGTCAAAAGGAAGAATTGTCAGGCCTTCGTCTCGAGACTTAAACAGAAATCATCACGGAGTTAGATGGTCTCACAAAGAGAAGCAGAAGTGGATTTCTACTAATGTTCCAGGTACACCATCAGTTTCACATCCTCAGAATTCTAATGGTCCATCCTCTTCTTCTACCCCTTCTTGCGTGTTGAGGAGTGCTGGTGTTGAACCGGAATTGGAGAAGAGGTGCGAGATGACTGTAACGAACAATGGAACTAATTCTTTGCAAGGGTTGATTACGGAAGGAAAGAAAGAGAGTGAGTCTGGTGTTTCTAGGCAGATGAAAATTGCAGATTGTGCAGTCAAGAAATTATCTGAAGGGGTTACAGGCTGTGTGGGTAGAGATTTGCACTTTCAGTTGTCCAATGAAGAGGCCGTAGCTTTGTTTAAAGAGCTTCGATTAAGTTTAGCACTGAAAGGTCTTAACTGCCTGCCTGATACAAGGGCTGACAAGACTGATTCTGGTAGACTTGCTGGGATGGGCGATTTTGTTACAGAATCTGATTCTTTTTATGAGAATGACAGGGAGCTGGAAGAGGAGGTGTTTGATGATTTGGGTTCTATCCACCAAGTTTGCTCCAATGAGCTTATACACTGGGTGGAGAATGGTTCTGAAATCCTACAGGAGGTGCCATTGGCTATGGTGCGACCCGACGAACAGGTTGCTGATAAGGGGAAAGATTGGGTAGTTGACAACATTGGAATCACTAGTAAGCTTTTGGGAGTCTCTTCAGAAGGTAATGACGATAAGACATTATCTATCCTTCAAGTAATTGTGGAAGGGAAAGAGGTTACAGGAGATAAAGAATCTCATTTCTGAAGTCAACTACGAAGGGAAAGGAGTGGCGGCGAAGGAAAGAGGAAGAACCAGGAGTAGGAGTCTCACGAAGGGTGGAGGGGAGATTATCTTATCTGGTTTGCAATGAATATACGAATCATTACATGGAATGTTCGTGGTCTTAATGATCCGAACAAGAGAAGGGTGGTGAAGGTAGCTTTAAGGAAGTGGGGTGCCCAGCTTGTTTGTTTACAAGAAACCAAGTTGGCATCCATTTCTGACAGGGTGGTTAAGAGTTTGTGGGGCGGAAGGTTTGTGGAATAGGAGGCCTTGAATGCTATAGGTTTTTCTGTATCTTGTGCGCTGAAGTTGGAAGAGGACAACTTCAAATGGGTTTTTACTGGAGTCTATAGACCGGTTGTTGATGATAAGCAACCTATCTTTTGGGAGCAGCTTTGCCATGTCCAAGGATTGTGGTCTCTCCCTTGGCGCTTGGGAGGGGATTTCAATTCTGTAAGGTCCCCATCAAAGATGTCCACAGGGGGAAGACGATTCTTGGAAATGGATCAATTTTCTGATTTTATTGATGGGCATTCTTATTGATTTACCAATGGAAGGTGCAGCCTATACTTGGTCAAATGGTAGGGATCCAATCGCTCTTTTCAAGATTAGACAGATTTTTAATTTCCAGGGACTGGGAAGAGAAATTCCCGGATGTTGTTCAGGCAGTGTTAGCAAGGGTCACCTCTGATCATGTTCCTTTGGTCTTGGATTGTGGGGGTTTATGTTCTCAAAGATCCCCATTTAGATTTGAGAATATGTGGCTGTGAGCGGAAGATTTCCAAAGGAAAGTCAGATCTTGGTGGGAGGGAGTTATTGTTTCAGGAACGCCCAGTTTCACAATTACAAAGAAGTTAAGGGCTCTCAAATTTGCTCTTAAGCAGTGGAACAAGGATGTCTTCGGGAATTTGGAATGGAGGAAGAATAGAGTACTAGCTGATTTTTCTGAGATTGATCGTCTTGAGGAGGCAGGAGGGGATGTGGAATTTCTACGTTCCAGGAGAGCCTCTTGTCAGGCGGTCTTTGCTGAGATTGTTAGTATGGAGGAGATCACGTGGCGACAAAAATCTCGGGCTCTTTGGC